GTGTTTCGACAAGCGAGAGTGCACTCAGCAGAAGTACAATAAACAGACTAGTGTCCGTAGCCAAAGATGGATTACTTTAAGCGACAAAAACAGCAGCTGTATTCTTGAGGCTCATGTGACGTGTATAAAAAGTACAGCAGACTAGTTAATATTTCGCGATTATTGTTTTGTCACGACACGTTTCGATCATACTCAAATTATAGTAATAAATCTTCAAAAATTAAAAGTGAAACCTCTAAAGAGACACGGACGAAAGTGCTATTAACATAATACCGTATCAACTTTAATAACTCTCGCCGGGATGTACATAATTCATAAGCGTGCAGTACAATAATGTAGTATAATCGACAGAGTAGAAATAAAAAAATGAAAATCCGTTTCTGATTTTTTTAATTTAATCTGACAGGAATAAAAATTAGATATATTTTTTTTAGATGACGGTGGGTGAATTTGTTAAAAATAGACCGACTGATCCGAAGAGTGCAATTGTATTATTGTAAGTGCAATATCTGTAGGAGAATTGCGACCTTCCTCTTCGGTTGGATAATCTCGTTTCCTTTTCATCTCCCGCACACCACTATAACATTCATTAGAATTTGGGTTGTGTAAACACTTTTTTTTTAAGGCATTATCTATTATTTATATTAAAAATATATAAAGTCGGCCACATAGCTTTGAGTAGGCGTTTGCAGTGTCTCATAACATTTATCATTATTATTATTATTATTACTATAGAATGGTAAAAGACATATGAGTGTCAATAAATACATGTGAATAACAACAAAAACGTTTATTTTTTTCGCTGCGACTTCATGCAAACGCATATACAATTCATACTCCCAATTGGATACACTTAAAAATATCAAAATCTACATAAGTTACAATAGGAAATGTGATGAACGCGATGCAGTATTTGCCGTTTTAATAGTATGGGAAATATTTGTAGAAAACATAAATTAATATTTATTGTTATGAATCTAAATGATTTCACTGACCAACGAAAAAGAAAATTTAGAGGCTTATTATAAATTCGAAACGGTGCTAACCCATCGCAATGTAAACCGGAAAAGACGAGTACACGCGACTGTTAGCATTTCTGATTTAAACACGAGAATGGTGAAAATCAATATTAGTGAAAAATGATCTAAAGAAGCTTTCGTTGTTGTTTTACCTCACTGGGCCGTCGGTTTAACATAATTCATCATCAACGCTTTTCATTCTATAATACTCAGACGATAATACAGCAAACAAAACAGCACTCAGAGTGCAATTATTATTTATAAAATGACAAGTATCGAACAAAACGAGTTTCTTTCTTTCTTATTGTTCGTTCTGCTCATTGCATAATAATTGAACGTTTTAAATGATATCAAAACGACAAGAAAGATAATGCGATCGAAAACGTGAAAACACGTTGAGAAATGTAATGTTCTATTTTTAGTTCGGTTCTCCGTAACCGAATGTCACAGAAACGTCGTTTTTTTATTTTATTTTTTTCTGAAAAGAAACCAAAAAATGTACGAATGTTTGTAAAATAATAATTCAGATATGCATCATGTGCAAATTTCTTGTACGCTATCTAATCAAAATGATTGCTAGCGCATCGTTTGCCTTGGACTAAAAATATTCGTCAAGACTTGTATTTTTTGGTTGTTTGATAAGTTATCGCATTTTGATGAGAGTGAACAAAATGTGCATAAAATTATTTGTATAGGCAACGTGTTGAACGGATAACAATAAGATGTGTCCTTAGAATTAAAATAACAAAATTATGCCTCCTCTCCAATGGTTTTCTTCACAAGGACGGCAATAGAGAATAGTATGAAATTTAATCGGTGTAACAATTGATTGTACAATGTTATATTTATTAAATATTAATCGCCCTTACTATCCCCGACATTAGCACATTTTAAAAAAGAAGAAAAATAAAAAAAACGAATAAAAGCAATCTACGAGTTTGGAATAGACAGTAAAAAACGTCTCGAAGGATCAACAACGTGACGACATTGCAAAGTTATGGAAACAAACGAGAGGTGACGGCAGATTGTTGTCGTGCCAGAGGAGACCTCGCTCCACATTAACTGCTTGCCGTGGTCATACAACGTCACAGCTAACGGCTTAATGGGGTTGTCGGGCCCGAAATCCTATAAATATTTTAGAATATATAAAATACAGATTCAGATTTAATTAATTTACATTAAAGAACCGAAATATACCAATTGGTAAATTTTAGGACTCATACATTCAAGTGTCTCGCGTATAAAGGATGAAGTCCACTCATTGATAATCGAATGGACATAATGACAGTAATAACTCAAAATTAATATAGCACATATATTGTTATTATTATTGTAACGCGAGCAACAGATGGAACGTCTTAGCGGCAACCGGCTGAGGTTAATTGTGCGGATCGGTGAAAGTACTTTCACCCGCACCACACTTCGTTTCAACGTCCGTCAAGGTCACCACAGTTCTCTGCATTCGACGTCAACGGTGGTGCTCAGAGTTCGTGCAGTTCCTAACTCGTCCTTCCGGACCGGACAATGGAAACGCATTTTCTCAAAATACACAAAGTATTTTCTTTGGTGTCGCGCTTATAATAACACTTACCCTTATGGTTATACCATAAGACATTCGCGACCATATCGAAACAGTCACTCACGATATTTACACATTTAGATATTAAGTGTTTCAAGTAAATAAAAAACTTATTGTAAAAAAAAAAAAAAGATCTTCATTGAAATAATTATTAACTAGTTTTTAATTAATAATTATTCTTGTCCTGCTCGATGAATTAAATTATATTCAATATTTCGTTCGGTACGATTAAAATTTAGCCTAAATAATTAAGAATAACATTGAAGATTATATGTACGAATTCAATATATAGTTTTAATTATTCATTATTAGTTTACATTGTATCAAATTTAAATAATCAAAAGAAACAAGTTAAGCGAGTTCTGCGGTGATCGAATATTTTCAAATCATCATGTTACTGACATTTTCAAAACGACTTTTTTATATTGTAATCTATATATGTTTTAACCTTGATTTTTTTTTCTACGCGATAGTTTAAAATTAGTTATAAAATAACTTAACAAAAAATTTAAAATTAAGATTTTATCATTTTCATCCGTTTGTAGACTGTAAATCCAGTATGTGGATCTGAATTTTGTATGTACAACTGTCAACCGAACAAACAAATGACTTGAGAACTGTTTAAAATTTGAAATAATATATTGGCAGTATATTTTATTATAAACCATTCCATATGAATTTGATTATTTATTTAAAGAAACTTCCGTGTAAAAATTGCAGCCATATGGATTTATGGGCGGACAAGGCGGTACAGTATTGAATCCGCTAACGAGACACTCCCACGATCACATAATAATATTATAACTATTATTATTTATTGTTACAAGTACACCTAAAAAAATTGTTGAGTGTATTGTGCAATTTGGACCGATCTACATTTTGACGTCGTTCAAGACTTATCGGATTATAGTGAACGTGTTGGTAGATAACGCACATAATAATGTAAAAATAATAACAGTAATAATAATATCATAATAGTTGACAGTGGACGCCCGCGAGTAACAACAATAGGCGGCGTATCGACAGATTAATCGAAGTTGATTAAAAAGATGGTCGCGGAAAATTTGACATTATGCTAAACTCGATGTGTGGGACATGGTATTAGCATATTTAAAATTTAAATTTTACACCAGCGGCTGTATAAGATTGCCAACGAATATGTTAATGTTAAAGTGCATGTAATATAATAATATGTAATAAATTTACCAAAGCAACTAATCAAAACATTACACTCTTTCAATGTTATCGGATGATCTATTACATCACGTAATTTGGTATTTATTTTTTTCTGGTTTCAATAGTATTTTACGTTATATGGATAAATAAAAAGTTTAATTAATTGAATTTTAACTCGATTCAATATGTCCATGAATAATATACTCGTTATAATTAATATGGGATAACTTCAAAAAATATTAGTTTACTTAAAACAAGTCTTTTTCAATTATACTACATTCATTTTGAACATTTTGGTCATCTAAGCGAAAGTAGATAAGGAAGCTCCGCAAATGATTATTTAACTATTATATTGTTACGTTAAAATATTATAAACCACATGTCGGATATTTGTATGTTACTTGTTAAACGCGATACAATACTATAAGATAGACTGTTTTTTTAATTAAACCATACGGCCGATTCTGACCATGACTCAGTAATAACTTAATATATACATCATATGTTGCAAAATTTACACACATACACACACGTCATTTTGCAAATTGTCTGTTTTTTCACTAGATATAGTTGAATTGTCTTGTACTATTATACAACACTTTTTTAAAGATTAACAACAAAAATTGGACTTGTAAGATTCATTTAGCATGTTTCAATGTAGCGTTTTTTAGTTTTACATTTGATTTAATATTAAACTAGTCTAATGTTAGCAATTTGTAAACTCAAGCTTATGAGTATAGACGAATATGGAATTTAATATCAGTCGTAATAAGTACCTAAGAAATTGCGCATTTAGCCGCACACGTTAAACACTGGGGTGAGTTTCGTGTCAAACGAATTTTTTTAAGTCATTGTAATATTCTCTAGTCTTAGCAAGGTCGCCTACTCCCACAAAATCGAGGTGCTGTGATCGCGGAACAAATTTGCTCGTGTTTCAAAAAAAAAAACATTCGTATTTATAATGTTAGTATCATAACCGTCTTCGGGTGAAAAAGTGAAAGGTATTCTATAACAACGACCTGTATGGGAAAATAATGAACGAGTTGATTCATTTTTAAAAAGCGAAACGTTTTATATTAAAATGGGCAAGGTCGGACGTACACTCATAACTTGTTTCAAAATCTTAAATCGTCCGAAGTTCGTCTACGAAACTTTAGATGCAATCCATATGATTGTTATTCACAGCTGATAACACAAAAATAATAACATGCAAGTGTGACACGTACCTTATACAGTTTATCCTTGCTGTACCAGACGTCTTCTTCGTCCTCCACCTGAACAGGAAATCCGGCTCCGGACTCCAGGTTCAGATCGTCTCGAGATCTGGATAGTATGCGCCGTCTTGATATCATGTCGCTAGTCACTGATAATGACGGGCAGCTATAACAAAAATGGTACACATTATTACAAAATGGTATCGAGAACATATTAATTAAAAGTGACATACATAATTGAACATTTTATGTTCTGTTATCTGTTTGATATTGAACTGTGATTATTATAGCAAAAGCTGAATGAATGTTAAAAATATATTTTTCGGTAGTGCATTAAAAATTATGTATAATAAATTATTTTTTTGGATAACCTAAACGAAGGCGTACGCCGGATTTACACATAATTATGTATTATTATTTTTAAAAAATTCAATTTTTATACTACGAGGAAAGTGATTTTATTGTTTCAATTTAAGCTTAATTGTCACCTCGTAAAAGAGTTCAAGGACCACTGAAAGATTATTCTCTAGAATTATAATTACATATGGTTTAGGCTCTACGGTTGGGCTTTACTTGAATACCAAAAGCGAGTGTGTACGCATAGAATATACGTGTACCGACCACCAATGCTCTGTACGGGTGTGCCCATGGAAAAGGTCATAGCGCACGGAAAAAAAATGGTTTGCCGTAAACTACAATAACGACAAGACATTATTATTCTGACATTCTACGAGCCAGAAATATACAACACAATTGTAAAAGCAGCAGCGAAAGTGTGTAAGAAAATGCCCAACTCATTTAATTTCAATAGTTTCGTATCATTAAACGCGTATACTTATAAATTAAATTTAAAAGCTCAACTATTTAATGTCAACAGTTTTGTTGGCTTATAAAAACCATTCGATTTTAAATGACCATATTGTTCTCGTAGAATTAAATTTAAGTTGTCGCTGCAGTTCTCAGTTCAATAAGAAAAGTTTAATATATCATGTCACTGTACATTATTATGCGATATAATGATGTAACGTGCGTCTTTCCCAGGATAAATTGTATGTGAAAAAAACTCTCAGTCGAATTAAACATGTTATGGATCATTTTGGGCGATTCGCCAACAGTTTATATTTCCACTGTATTGTGCGAATCTCCCAAATGAATAATAAACAAATGGTTTTACTTAGGTCAAATATTATACCAGACCACTCCCTTAATAAGGAATAGTTATAAGACAGCAAAATTAACATTGACATTTATGGAATAGAAATAATTCGCTATTAGCGATGGCCATTTGAAATCGTGTGAACTCACTTATGCGGCTAAATAGATACACTAAAGTTCATTTTATTTTGTCTATTGACTTTCTTCAGATGAATTTTCCGATTGACTTTTGGGGTATTTTAAATCATAGCGCAACGTCATGTACATTCATTACAGACACTTTCGCTTTTCAAAATGGTTGCCCCAGAACTACATTGTCTATTACAGAATCGATACTCAAAGAAATGGACCGTTCCCATGTAAGATTTTACTTTATAGCAATTACAATAAACAATAATAGAATAATAGTCGCATAAATTACAAGTTACATTTCTCCTATGAAGCGCGCACGTGTGACAAGTTTGTAAACAGAAATGGTCCGATGTGATTCAAACAACGAAACAATAGATGAAGAATGTTTTTCTCCATTTGATTTGTACTTATTTCGTTGACAAACGATGATGTTCAAGACTACGCGCACAAAGGAAGACAATATTCTAATGAGTGCTGGATTTCCATCGCAATGAAAGTTCCCAAGCTACTACCGTTTGCTCGCACCAATGTATTTCATTATTATAATTATTATCGCGCAAGCCGATATCCGATTATCCAAAAATCCTTCCCACGATTGTAAAAAACAAGAGTTACCATAAAATTAAAAATAAACCTTGGTACGCCGATGTGAAATAACATTGGGGGTATTGTCAACATCGTTCGCCAAAGGATTTTGTAACTTTAAAAAACACATTTTCTCATGGCGAAACTCTGTGCGAACATATCATTCTAGACTCTAGATTAAGTAATTATTGCAACGTACGAAATTCACACCACCAGGAAAACCTTGTCTATAGAATCACATGTGAATCATCTGCAAGTACACATGTCTTGGTCGATATACTCTTCTGAATATCGCGTTAAGGTAAAACCGATTAATCGCAGCTCGTTACCCCAACTGTTGCTGTTGGCCGATCATCTTTTACACGTAGTGGCGCCAATGACCCTGACAATTGGTTGATTTTCGCCATCAGATAACCTGACTTACTTCCAACACATTTAACACGCTCGCGCATAGGCGAATTAACGGTTCGTTAAACATAATATTAATATTGTACATATTATATTAGTTTGTACATAATACGTGTCTGTTGCGGGTAAGACATAAGCACCACGAGGGTTACCATTTATAGAACGTAAGTGTAGGACGTCCGAACGGACGTGTGGGACGAATTACAGCATACGATATGAGTGTATATTAACGTGGTGGGCCGGCCCTTGTCCTGCATAAGGAGAATCGCCTCCCGTGGACGGTTCATTGGATGCATAATGCATTTTTATACGTACACATTATCTTTATTGTGCTCGTTTTTCGGAACACCACTATCCTGGCATTGTTCGATTGTCTTAACAATTGCGTCCAGTACGCACAACAAGACTGTCCGATTGTTTTCAAACATCTCATGCTAAGGGTTTGCCGACCCCCAAAGATAGAACGGCATTCTTGACGAAAATAAATGTAAATAATAAAAGTATATATACAAGAGTGTTAACATTGTAAAGACTCATTTTTTCTTTTTTTTTACTGAAAACAAACAATTTGTACCTTACGAGTGATTTCGATTAAAAAGTCACGTGCCCGAATCGATAAAATTCTATTGTCTTAACCCACCGTTAGGTCAGTCGAGTTGACGCAATCGTAACCGTTAGGCCGTGTGTTTGTTTTTTATTATAACGGAATTAATACAACATTTTTCGAAAGATCATCTTGAATGTCGCCCACTTTTTTGTTGAACGTTCGACAACATTTTAAAATCGTTATTTTTTTTTATCCTACGCCATTTGTACGACAGGTTAACGGACTATGTGCCAAAACCCATATAAACACCAAGTTAATAGGTTTAAAAGGGCATCACAACAGGGGGTACGTACAGTGAAAAACAACATAATAACATGGTATTATATTGTAGTTTATGACCTCTGGCAAAATCGATGCGATGTGTCATCGGAAAAATGACATAACTGTCAATTAAATCTCAATGAAACAAAATCAGGTTGACCGTACAATCATTATGCGGTTGTAGACTATATTATTCTGCGACTTAAAGTGTTGGGTTCAGCGAGGGAAGAAAACCGCGTGGGCCAAATGACGCGTCAAAACAGTCAGCATTGTCGGAAAATAAAGTAAAACTCTTAGAGATGTTTCACAATTTCCTCACCAAAAGTGTAATAATTGCAACATAGTGTGATACGATTTAAAAAAACTCGAGCAAATTGAATTCACATAATGATCCTCGGTTTGAACGGAGTTCTAGTTTAGGCTTTTTGAAATATCACATAATTTCGAGTTGTGTTCTCTTTCTATCAGATGAGACGTGCATGGCTCTTGTTATCCCACGGTACAGGCTGCGAAACAGAGTCTATTAAAACGTTAAGTTATCATATTGTTGTATATAAGGTATCATTTGTCGCGTACTTTACATTCGGGTCCTATATTGTTACTCGTAGTATATTGTTCTAACCACGACAGCGGCGTCTTCTAATAATGAAGTATAAAATAAACCACCATTTTTACCACCACTAAAAACCACCGACAGAGTTCAATTAAAAATACACCCCCCGATGACAACCTCCCCTCCAGAAAACACAATAGAACGAATCGATCAGGGTTCTTGGCAAGACCACTATTAATCACTATGTAGTCACCTAATTAATGAACACGGGGTATGTTTCTATAGAAGGCAATTTGGAATCTACATAACATAATGCATTTAAATATATATATATTTATACTCATACGTATTATTTAATCCTATGACAATCATTCGGGTTCTTGACCTCACAGTTAGCTGCCAACACTGATATATTGGTCAGTAGTTGTAAAACTAGAACTTCCACAACAGTCAATTCTCTTGAAGATGAGTTAATATTACAATTATTACAATTGGCTGCTACAACATTCATTAATGTATATGTAATCAGCTTAGTGATGGGAAAAAATATATTTTCTTATGACATTTACCCACGCATAACGTAGTAGTTGACATGCAATAACATAAGAAAACCGGCCGAGTTTATAACCCAACGTATACATCACACATAACAATTGGAATAACGTTTGAAAAATTAAAAAGAATTAAACCAGTGTTATAGAAAAAAAAAACTCAAATTCAAATATTTACATTTTAACATTTGCGTTTAAAACTAAACTAATGTGGGATTGTTGAACTTGATTTTTGAGCTAAAATAAACGTTTAGTATTTTGTAATATTATTACGCAAAATAAAATAAAAACGAAATTATATATATAACATTATTCCAACAGATCATCGAACAACAAGTATAATCACATTAAAAGGAATCAATGCTCCAAAAAGTAAATAATTAGATGGTCTATATTCTTGTTATAATTTTACAGTTTATCCGATTGACCAGCGTCCAAGCTGTACCGAAACAACAACTAAATGCATGTTTAGTCTTCTGTAAATACCCTCTGATAGTGTACATATGTCATGGTATTATTAATATTGTACGTTTTGTGTACATGATAACAGTTGTAATACGATGCAGAGGTTTTCACCGGCGGCATTAGTTTGCCGAACGGAAGGAAGAGAAAGTCGAAAGCTACCAGTGACGTGAAGTGCAAAAACAAAAAAAAAACTAAATTAACACATGTAAGTGTTTTTTATTTCTAGTGCATCATTGAGCTTTTTGTTTCTCAATTATTTTTTATTCACGATTAATACTCACAAAAGGAGTTCCCATTGATTCCTTTAATCGCCACTTAATTTCGGGATATCAGACCCTGAAGATGCAAAGTTCTTTTATGATAATGACTCGACAACGTTTAGCGACCAGTCGTTACGCACGGATGAAATTTCCTGTATATACTACCGTATGCTATTATAAAACATACAA